ATTTGACGAACATTATACATTTCTTGTCTTTTTATCTGGAACTGCTTGAGTCTGATTCGTTGTACGATTTGACGTTAATTGCAAAGATTTCTTAGGGATTTCTGCTTCGTAAGTCTCTAATGTAAGGGACGATGCCATATATTAAAATTAACACAGTCAAACATTTTCCTATGTAGAGTATGGTCTTTCTGAAAAACAAGCTGAGGCTATACTGGAGATAACTCTTCGAAGGCTAACTACTCTTGAGGTGCTTTCTTACTCTCGCTAAGTTCAATTTATGAAACTTGTAAGCTTGAAAATGTTCTAACTAGATTCTCCCTCCATATGCATGCAGCGGAAAAAGTTTACTGATGAGAGTAGTTCACTGACAGAGCAAATTACAAAGTTGGAGCAGCTATTATCAACCCGAGCAAATATCCTAAAGGTGACATACTCACTTTTTAGTTATCTATTACTGTTCTTTTGGCTGAAGATATTTGAACACCTAGATGCTGGTAGAATGATAGATGCATTAATATATGTACTCCAAATTCGTAAGCTTGACTGTTTGAGTCCACTGAGGTTCAAACTCTGGTCCATGTATTACGATGTGGTAAAAGGATTCAAATGCTTCTTCCATTTCTTATATCTGTAAAGCTGCTTACTATATATATATATGTTGCTGTTCTGGGCCAATGTTAGGAAGATTAGTGATACATGATGATTTTCTTGTAGACCAAAATATAGTTCTTTGCTTCGTTTACTTCATTGTATGTTACTTACTACTTTCTTCCCTTCGTTATCTTCTTGTATTTTTCTTTAGTTAATCGAACAAGAAGCAATAGAGCTGAAGGACAGATTCTCAAGTCCCAGGCGTTCAATGTTGGAGGATTCTGACAGTGGTGATCTAGAAGATATAGATGTTATTCCAAATGAAGAGATGCTGATGGTATGTTGCATACTTAAACCTAGAAAGTTTCTCAACATTGAAAACTTTGTTGTTTGTTTTATAACTTTTGATTTCTGGATGACTATAGGCAATCAGCGAAAAGGGCTATGTGAAGAGAATGAAGGCCGATACATTCAATCTTCAGCATCGTGGAACAATTGGCAAATCTGTTGGGAAACTGAGAGTTGATGATGCAATGTCTGACTTTCTTGTTTGTCATGCACATGACCATGTCCTCTTCTTCAGGTATGTATAACTCAAAGTTTCCTTTGTGTTTGCTACGCATATGTATATTAATTTTCTGCCTTGTTGTAATTCATTGCTCATACTTGTTCTACATTCAGCGACCGGGGTATAGTTTACTCAACCCGTGCGTATAAAATTCCAGAATGCTCTCGCAATGCAGCTGGCACACCTTTGGTTCAGGTAATTTACATATCTGTTTATCTATGTTTTCCTTCTGCTATGTCGAAAAATATTCAATTTTATGAAAGGCTAATGTTCTGCTGTATTCATGTGACTTGTGGAAGCAGATATTATCCATGTCAGAAGGTGAAAGAGTAACCTCCATTGTTCCTGTTAGCGAGTTTGCTGAAGATCGCTACCTCCTGATGCTTACAGTGAATGGCTGCATCAAGAAAGTATCGTTGAAATTATTCTCAGGAATACGCTCAACTGGAATCATAGCAATTCAGTTGGTTTGTCCCCTTTTTCTTTTTAGTCCAAATTTAGAAAGTCTTCTTAACAAGGTTACTCTAACATAATTATTTGTCTTCAGAATTCTGGTGATGAACTGAAATGGGTTCGTTGTTGCTCAAGCGATGATCTTGTGGCCATGGCGTCCCAAAACGGATTGGTCGTCTTGAGTACATGTGATGGTGTAAGTTGTGGTTCTCGACTTTTTTTTTTTTTTAATTGATTCTTCTTTCAAGTAAACCTTTTATTACTTGAGCAAACTCTGATGGCTTTTGTTTATTTAGGTTCGCACACTGAGCAGAAATACAAAGGGAGTGACTGCCATGAGACTCAAGAATGAGGATAAGATAGCGAGCATGGACATCATACCTGCATCTCTGCGGAAAGATATGGAGGAGAAGTCGGAAGATGCTTCAGTTGTGTATGTTTTTCGTAACTTATATCTGATGATGTTTGCTTTAGAAACTTACTTGTCACACTAGTTAATGTTTTACTGTCTTCCTTTGTGAACACAATCACAAAAGCAGAAAACAGTCCACCGGTCCATGGCTTTTATTCGTGTGTGAGAATGGTTATGGAAAGCGTGTTCCTCTGAGTAGCTTCCGGCGTTCGCGTTTGAACAGAGTTGGTTTATCTGGATACAAGGTATGATCTGGATTATTACCATCTCCGGTTTGTGGGTTCATTTTTCCCTTACATCTCAATTTGTCAGTTTGCGGAGGATGATCGTTTGGCTGCTGTTTTCGTGGTTGGTTACTCCTTGGCTGGTAAATATACACTCTTCCACAAATACGGATTTAAATGTTGTGTGATTGCTGTTTATATATAAACTCAGCAATGTGTTTTCTTGCAGAGGATGGGGAAAGCGATGAGCAAGTAGTTCTGGTGAGCCAAAGCGGAACTGTGAACCGGATCAAAGTCAGGGATATCTCAATCCAATCTCGCAGAGCACGGTATATGGTTTCTCTCTTCATGTGACAGTCTTTCCAAATCTTTATATATATGTTTTCTCATTTGATTGTTAATTTCTCAGGGGAGTGATTCTTATGCGACTAGATCATGCTGGAAAAATCCAATCTGCTTCTCTGATCTCTGCAGCAGATGAAGAAGAAACAGAAGGAACTGCAAGTAATGAAATCGTAGAAGCCGTTAGCCTGTAAATTTTCCAATCCCAATTCAACAAGTTTTTGTGACAATTATCAGTTCAGTACATAGCGTCTATGTGCTTTAACCCTCTTCCTCATTTTGTTTTCTGATGTTACTACGAGAAGAGAAAACCATGATCGAAATTTGTTATTAACATTAATCTGCTTCACATTATGTTGGGTTTAACTATATATATATATATTAAGAAAGTTGAAACCAATTATTCTGGTTATAACCAACAAATCAATAGTGCTCTTCTCACTTTTGTTTTGTTGTTAACCAAATCAAGAGAAATATTTTACAAGTGGTACAAAGACGTAAGCACCAAACCCCATAATCACAAGAGCAGCTGCACCAACATTCACCAAAGATATGTCATATGTCCGACTCTCTTCTCCACCCATTCCTTTTCCTCCTACTGCAAGAGGAGGATCTATGTCGCTCTTCTTCTTTCTTTCTTTGACTAATAATGGACCGGTTTCTGGTTCCACGACTTCACCATTATTATCCTTTAGATCTCCTGTATCTTTAGCTAAACTAGCTTCTTCTATCTTCTTCTGCTTCTCTCCGTCTTGAATCTCTCCTTCACTAACCATGTCTCCAACCATTTCATTTTTCTCATCCTGCTTGTTTCTCAAGCGATCATCAACATCCAGTTTGATTTTTGCATCTCCCTCTTTCGTTTTTAGCTCAGGCTCTGCTTGGTTTGTCTGAGCAATTTTCTTCTCTATTCTTCTTGCCTCATCACCAACAACAGGTTTTGTAAAGTTCTCTTCTTTCTTTTGTCCTAAGTTAATCCTTCCTTCCTCTTTCAGCTTCTGACCTATTTCACCATCTTCCTTTTTCTCAACAACTTTCGCATATTCCTTGGGTTCCACTCCAGCATCAATGGTCGGCGTTCTGCTAATCTCTTTCTCCTTCACCTTCTGTCCAGTCTTATTCTGACTTATCTCATCATCTTTCTTTCTCTCAATTAATTTCTCCTCTTTCCCCTGTACCTTGGGTTTTAAACTACCACCAAGGGTTGGTGTTCCTTTAGCCTCTTCCTCCTTTAATTTTTGTCCAATCTTTTGCTGACCTCTTTGAGCAGCCTCCTTTCTCTCTGCCACCTTTTCGTCTTTCGCAGGTTCGTTGCCCACTAAGCTAGGGATCGCTTCTCTCGCTTTTACTTTTGGTTCAGACTTCTCTCGACTGCCTGTTGGCACCGTTCTTTTACCCTCAACCACTGATTTATACGTTTTGGGTGCTTCTTCATTCAACGTTGGAGTAGTTTTCTCTTGACTTGTTCCCACTTGTTTCTGCTCGTCCAAAGGTTTCTTTGGTCCCAAGGTACTCCCATTAGGACCAGGCCCTCCACTTTTCTCCTGATTAGATCTCTCTCCAATCTTCCCCTGATCTTGGACTGCTTTATCCTGTTTTTTACCTTCCACGATCGCTGGAAACTCAATCGTCAAGAGTCCATGTGAAAAGGAGGTGCTCAATTTGGTCATGTCACAGGTAACGGGGACACGGTAAGCTTCATTGAAACGAGCCTTAGTCTGAGCAGAGAGCGGTCGCTGGCCTTGAATCTGGACAGTCCTTGTCCTCTCATCCTTTTTTATTTCTATTTGATCCCTATAAAACCCTGTCGATTCCACACAATAAACGACAAATTCATGAAGTTTGTTATCAGTTAAAGATTAATCTCAAGTAACAAAAAAGAAAAAAAGAGAGAAGAGAGAAGACCAGGAAGATTAACGTAGAGGAAAATGGAAGATCCGGAGTTAGTCCATTGAGCTCTCGGCTTGAAACTACTCACCGTCGGAGCCAGCGGTGGCGGATGACGGCCACCACCCGGCCTTGGTCTCTTGAAAATAGCCGCCATATATGTGTATATATAGATCACACTATATCAGGACAAGAAGTTCAAAGTCTTTATGAAATAAATGAATCAAACTGTATATGAAACATAAAAAATGTTTGAATGTTGTATATAAGATATAGAGAGAGGACAGAGGAGATTTTAAGATTAGGGTATGGGTTTAGGATTGCTTTAGGGTATTGACTTTGTCTGTTTCTTCATCCCAAGGTCTCATATCATATGTGTAAATGGTTTCTTGTACTTCAAGGAAAGAAGCTTTTAAGGTTTTGAGCGTATCAACACAAAGTGACGTCGTTTTACATTTTTCTTCTTATTTTCCTTTTTCTTTTTAAGCTAGTAGCCTATATATATTACGTGTCATTCAACACGTGAAACTAAAGATTCCCTGGACCTAACCAACCACATCACTTCACCGGATTAACCTCCTCAAACCTCCACCGTCTTCCGCCGCAATTTCTGTCTCCATGGCCGGGGTTAACCTACAGCTCCGTCACGGGTACTCTACAGCTCAATTCATTCCAACTGTTTCTTCTCCTCCTCCTTCTCTTCCTATTCAGCGAGTTCGGCTCGGGACTTCACCCTCTCGTGTTCTTTTATGCAATCTCCGAGCTAATTCCGCCGCCGCTCCAATCCTGCGAACTACTCGCCGTTCAGTTACTGTTTCCGCGTCTTCCGTATCGTCATCAGTCGATTCGGATTCGTTGGTGGAAGATCGCGATGACGTGGCGAGGATCCCGTTACTTGAAGTTAGGGATTTGAGAGCTGTGATTGCTGAATCGAGACAGGAGATACTAAAAGGTGTCAATTTGGTTATCTACGAAGGAGAGGTGCGTTGTAATAAACGAAATTTTGTGGTTGACTTGATATTTTAATTTGCAGAAAACTTTCCCTGGTAGTGAAATTGTCTCAATCATCTGAGAAAGTTTTGAATTTGAAATCATAAGTCAACAAGACAAAGACATTGTGAATTCTATTTGTGTGGATTCGTTTGCATTATAATGTATGGTTTCTTTTGTGGTTGCTATAGATTCACGCAGTGATGGGGAAGAACGGTTCAGGGAAGAGCACATTTTCCAAGGTGAACATTTTATTTGTATTTAACATGATTTGATCTTGTATCTCAGGATTAACCTTCTTGTTGCATAGTATTGTTCTCTTTTTGTTTGTTATCTTAGTGAGCCTTATTATTTGTAGGTTCTTGTTGGTCATCCCGATTATGAAGTGACGGGAGGGAGTATTGTGTTTAAAGGGCAGAATCTACTTGATATGGAACCAGAAGATAGATCTCTTGCCGGTCTTTTTATGAGTTTCCAATCCCCAGTTGAGATCCCTGGTGTTAGCAATATGGATTTCTTGAATATGGCATTTAATGCTCGGAAAAGAAAGCTCGGTCAGCCAGAGCTTGATCCAATCCAGGTGACCTTTCAAAATAAGATGATTTGGATTTGGTTTGCATTGTTTCTTACTTCTTGTTGTTTGCTAATTGGTCCCAATTGCAGAACTGTCTAATTGCATATCTTCTGTATTATGTTTTACTGATATCTCATGGCTCATGCAGTTCTACAGCCACTTAGTATCAAAACTTGAAGTTGTGAATATGAAGACCGATTTTCTCAACAGAAATGTCAATGAAGGATTTAGTGGTGGTGAAAGGAAACGCAACGAGATTCTACAGTTAGCGGTATTGGTTCCATTTCCCTTGTTTCTCAGTTGCCACAAGAACCACATATGATAAGAAACAAATATGATAATAGAAGTCAGTGGATTACTAAGCTTGTTCCATCCTCGTGTGAAAAACGCAAGGCTAATTGTTAGGAATTTCAGGATATTTGGGTAGATTAGCTTAAGCAGTTACAGGTTACCATAGGGAGGCGTAATTATTGCGATAGCAATTAGTATACTGTTAAAAGGACTTGACTGCAGTTTAAGCTAAAAAGACATGGCATGTTATATGTCTTCATATCTCCTTATATTTTCCTGATCTTGAAATATCTGCAACTGCAAGCAATAAAAAATTTACCTTCTCTTAATTTTTTTTTTTTTTAATGTGCTTTGCCATGAGACTGTCATACTAGTTATTCTTAGGCTCTAAGTCTGAGGCCATTGTGTCGTGTCATCTTGTGTTCTGGTTTATCGATAACATGAGAACACGATTAGTCTCCTTTTCTTTGTAAGCAATATATGGAAAGAGGTCATGGAATACAACGTTTGGTGATGGTTTCCCTGTCCTTACAGGTTCTTGGAGCTGAGTTGGCTATACTGGACGAGATTGATTCAGGGTTGGATGTTGATGCTCTTCAAGATGTGGCAAAGGCAGTGAACGGGCTTTTGACACCAAAAAACTCTGTTCTGATGATAACTCACTATCAACGCCTACTTGACTACATCAAACCAACTCTCATACACATCATGGTGAGCATTATTCCTAAACCAGCCTTCTTTACTAGAGATTTTACTTGGAATTTGTTTGTTTTGGTGGCTCATGTAAGTTTCCTTGGGTTTCAGGAGAATGGAAGAATCATTAAAACCGGAGACAACTCCTTGGCCAAACTACTGGAAAAGGAAGGCTACAAAGCGATATCCGGTTAGTTATCGCAGATCATACATATAACCTGTCTTCCTTCTTTGAGAGACCATGGTTATATATGGGTCCAATACGATGGAAGCTAAAGCTGATGATTGGAAAATCAAATCTGTCACTACAATCTTTGACCCGTAGGTTTTTTTGGCATCATTGGTTTGCATGACAAACTACTTTATTGGGTTGTGAACAGTTCTTCCATACCTTTTTGTAACTAACAACTATTCAGTTAATAAATTTTGTTATTAACAATGCTCTAATTATGTTTTTAACCTTAGAGTTTGAGACTTGAAGTGGATCAAATCCAATCAAAACCTAGTGGTTACATTACTTGAGAAATTGACAAAATAAAATTACTTTGATTTTTCTATCGCCTGTTGCTGCTGGAACGAGTGGGTATTAGAATAAATTATGACAAGAAGAACGCAAAATTCGCTGATGATTAAACCCAAACGCGTTTTTCAAACTCGTTCAATCATCATCTTCATCTTCTCCACAATTGACTTATCAAACAAGATTACACCTCCTTGAGCTTTTTATGCAAATGTAGTGCTTTTAAGCAATCTATCAATTTCCCTCGCTTATTTTCCGACAAAACCAAACCAAATTATTCTTCTTGTTTCAATCCCAGATCGATCTCTTTGTTTTCAGACAATTTCCGCTTTCTGGATTCGGTTCATTGCATCGTTCTCTGTTCTGGGTTCGTTTAAATTTTCGATTTTCTCATTTGAAAAATTTGAATTTTTTCTTGTGGCAGATTGATTGTTGTTGTGGAAGATTCATTCTTTGCATCGACCCGAGTAGGGTTTTTGCTTGTTCCATCTGTATTCGGAGTTTTAAATCATTGCCTGATCTAGAGTGATCAATCCTGTTGTCGTTGCAGAAGAGAACCAAGTCTCAGATTATAAAGAGAGATTTGACTTTCACTTTTTAGTGTCTATGATCATTAGGAATGAGATCAGATCAGGTCAATTTGTGTTCTTTTGATCAGATCTTAATGTGGAAAGCTTGATGCTGTTGATTATAAGTAGAGAGATATTTTGATGGGTAATGCTTGCGTAGGACCAAACATTTCTGGAAATGGTTTCTTACAAACTGTTACGGCTGCAATGTGGCGGCCACGAATCGGAGTTGAGCAAGCTTCTTCTTCTTCCCATAATGGACAAGTTGCTAAAGAAGCAGCTTCAGAACCAGCACCTGATCAGGTCCAGAATAAACCCCCTGAGCCTATCACAATGCCAAACCCAAGGACCAATCCCGAAACCAAACCGAAACCCGATTTAGAGATCCAACCTGAAGAAAAGAAGGAGAAAGTTCTTCCTGAAGAAAGCAAGCAGAAAGTTCTTCCTGAAGAAAGAAAGCAGGAAGTTCCTCCTGAAGAAAGCAAGCGGGAAGTTGTTGTGCAGCCGGAGACAGCAAAACCAGAAACAAAGTCTGAATCCAAGCCAGAGACAACAAAACCGGAAACAACGTCTGAAACCAAGCCGGAACCTCAGAAACCTAAACATATGAGGAGAGTGTCCAGTGCAGGGCTTAGAACTGAGTCAGTGTTGCAGAGGAAAACTGAAAACTTTAAGGAGTTCTATTCATTGGGAAGGAAACTTGGACAAGGGCAATTTGGGACGACGTTTTTATGCCTTGAGAAAGGTACGGGGAACGAGTATGCGTGCAAGTCGATTTCCAAGAGGAAGCTTTTGACTGATGAGGATGTTGAAGATGTGAGAAGAGAGATTCAGATTATGCATCACTTGGCTGGTCATCCAAATGTTATATCTATTAAAGGCGCTTATGAGGATGTTGTTGCGGTACACCTTGTGATGGAGTTGTGTTCGGGTGGCGAGCTTTTTGATAGAATTATTCAACGTGGACATTACACTGAGAGGAAAGCAGCTGAGCTTGCGAGAACCATTGTTGGGGTTTTAGAGGCTTGTCACTCTCTTGGTGTTATGCATCGAGACCTCAAGCCCGAGAATTTTCTATTTGTTAGTAAAGAGGAAGATTCCCTCTTGAAAACGATCGACTTTGGACTCTCAATGTTCTTTAAGCCTGGTTCGTATTCATGGTCATTTGTCTTTGATCATTCAACTTACAACATCTATGTTTGATTTTGGAATACTTTTCCTTCCACTTTTGCAGATGAGGTTTTTACAGATGTGGTTGGTAGTCCGTATTATGTAGCTCCAGAAGTTCTTAGAAAGCGTTATGGTCCTGAATCAGATGTGTGGAGTGCTGGTGTGATTGTTTACATTTTGCTAAGCGGAGTTCCTCCTTTCTGGGCCGGTAAGAGAGGTTGCAATGTAGATAAATGCATCTGATTGTTCTTGTTAGGCTCTGAAGCAAATTTGTTTTCCATGAAATATACAGAAACCGAACAAGGTATTTTCGAGCAGGTCCTTCATGGAGATCTTGACTTTTCATCTGATCCATGGCCAAGCATCTCTGAAAGCGCAAAAGACTTGGTGAGGAAAATGCTTGTTCGGGACCCCAAGCGAAGACTAACCGCACATCAAGTGTTATGTAAGTTATTTAAGTCTAAATCATTCATCTTAATTCTACTGAGCACAGAACATAACCTGGTATATCTTCTAACAAACATATGCAGATATGCTAGTTGATTTTCCAAATACATTGTCGCATTTGAATTTTACCGTTGTGGTTCTTCTCAAGGTGTTTTTGTTTATGAACAGGTCATCCATGGGTACAGATTGACGGTGTGGCTCCAGATAAACCTCTGGACTCTGCTGTTCTGAGCCGTATGAAGCAGTTTTCTGCGATGAACAAGTTCAAGAAAATGGCTCTTAGAGTAAGTCATCTTTCTAACTCTAAACAAGATCCCAACGAAAGAAACTCAGAAGATAGAATAAGTTTGGCCTTTTTTTTCAACTTGTTGTAGGTCATAGCTGAGAGCTTATCCGAAGAAGAAATAGCCGGTTTAAAACAGATGTTCAAGATGATTGACGCAGACGATAGTGGTCAGATAACTTTTGAAGAGCTGAAAGCAGGACTAAAACGAGTTGGTGCCAATCTCAAAGAGTCAGAAATTCTTGATCTAATGCAAGCTGTAAGTCTTTTAACCCAAAATTACCAGTCAGATTTGTCTGAAATCTTAGCAAATCAAGTTTCTTTTGCTCTTTTCCTTTACTCTGAATTCCAAACTTCAATCATTCACCAGGTTTATAGTTCCATGTTTTGCAATAATCTTGTATGTTTTGTCTCGTCTAATTCAGGCTGATGTAGACAATAGCGGAACGATAGATTACAAAGAGTTCATAGCAGCCACACTGCATTTAAACAAAATAGAGAGAGAGGACCATTTGTTCGCCGCCTTCTCCTACTTTGACAAGGACGAGAGCGGCTTCATCACCCCGGACGAGCTTCAACAAGCTTGCGAGGAGTTTGGTGTTGAAGATGCCCGCATAGAAGAAATGATGCGCGATGTTGATCAAGACAAGGTAACAAAAGCTCCTTTCTACACCTTCTCATCTCATTCCGAAATTGCATCACTTTCATAAGCAGATCTCTTGAATGTTCTTGCATTGTAGAAAATTCAATTCCCTGAGAACTTGCATTTCAACTTTTTCCAAGCTTGGAAGTGATGAGATATTGAAACCTCTATTTCTTGTTGATTGAGTGATAGAGCTATCGCACTTTTAAAAACATTGAAACATTGTTGCAGGATGGGCGAATAGACTACAACGAGTTTGTGGCAATGATGCAGAAAGGGAGCATAATGGGAGGACCTGTGAAAATGGGTTTAGAGAATAGCATTAGCATTTCTCTGAAACATTAGTTTTCAGATTACAAACCCAAAACCAACAAGAGCTTCGTCTATTTATTTTTTTAATGAATGATGATCATGATTGTGTTTTTCTCAACATTTTGATGAGATTTTTGTCGTTAGACTGGTTTAGGTAATTCTGTTTCTGTACTATGTACTTTTATGCATATACACATAGTTTTTGTCTGTAACTTTGGTCATAAAAGTTTATCTTTTAAAGTACAGTTCAGGTACTCAGAGAATCCATCGGTGAAGTAATTTTGTTTTTTATTTTCGAATTACATTTCTAAATTCGAAAATTAATTTCGTCCGGCGAGTGGTTGTAGGCCTCATGTTGTCCTCTAAAGCCCAGCCCACTAAAACGTATCACCGTTTATCTTGGAGATATTTATTAGTGTGACTGAAGTATTGTGTTAAACGCTAAATCTTAACCATCGGATCAATTCCATCTTACGGATGAAAATGATCTGTGTCCGTATTTTATTTGACAGTCGGTATTGCTAGTGCTTCTTTGATGGAAAGACGAATATACCCTTTTTAAGGTGCGTAGCTTTACGCTCCTTTCGTTTTTCCTTTTTGTTTTTTAAATTTTATTTTTGGTACCCTAGACAATATTTTTTTTTGGTTTGCTCTTTGTCTCGATTTTGGTGCCACAAATTAGAAAAAAACCCTAATTTCACCAAAAATTTTCAATTCCCTCTTTTCTCAATAAGTTTTTCGATTTTTCCTTACGCGGAAAGGTTCGTTGAAACCCTAGATTCGTTCTCAGTTTTCGTGTTGGCTAATGGCGAGCGCGGCACGGGGAGAGAGCAGCAATCCATACGGCGGCGGATTGGGAACCGGAGGAAAGTTCCGGAAGCCGACGGCTCGTAGGACTCAGAAAACTCCGTATGATCGACCGCCGACTTCTGTGAGGAACTCTGGAATTGGTGGCGGAGATGTCAGAGGCGGCGGTTGGTTGTCGAAATTGGTGGATCCGGCGCAGAGGCTTATTACTTATAGTGCTCATAGGCTCTTCGCGTCCGTTTTCCGGAAACGCCTCGGCTCAGGTGAGACGCCTGTACAGTCGCCGGAGCAGCAGAAGCAGATTCCAGAAAGAGGTAAGAAGCTTATTGATTTTTTCGATGCAAAAGTTATTATTTTTGCAGTTTCTGAGCTTCTCAGAGAAGCTGTTTTTAGGAATTGTAGATTTTTTTAAGTGTTTAGATTTGCCCTTTGCTTCAATTTTTTTTTTAGTAATTTAGAACTAGTAAGTGCAGAAACGTTGTTGGAATGTTCTTCAAGTACCTAGCGGGTTGTCTATTCTTGAATTCGTGGTATTAGAGATTGTTTTTGTATTGATAGCGGGTTGTTGCTAGCAGTCATGTATGGAATTCGTTTTCGCTTTACTAAGTGGACGTTGTTAATGTGTACTGTTTCTGTTATCATTGACCAGATGTGAATCAGGAGACGAAGGTAGGACACAAGGAGGACGTCTCTAATGTAAGTAAATGAGCCGCATCTTTTGTATAAATATCTTCTTCCTTTGGGTTTCCTTGTTCTTTTATCTTCTGTAGTGTAACCCATGTATTATCTATTGATGTGAAGCTGTCCATGAAGAATGGTTTGATTCGGATGGAAGATACCAATGCCTCTGTCGATCCAACTAAGGATGGATTTACAGATCTTGAGAAAATCTTACAGGGGAAAACTTTTACAAGGTACACTATCTTACGAGTTTTACATTGTACATATGAACCACTAGAGTAACTATTATTTCCCTCGAGGATGTAAAAGTTTCTTAATCTTTTGATGCATCCAACATTATTCATAAAATAGAAGAGTTGAATATAAAGACCTATTATTTTTCCTTCTGTTTTTGTTTCTCTTTTGGTGCGTTCATGTCAACATTTATAGGCATCTTCACATTTTGAACTATAATGAAACTTTATGTTTTGAAAATCATTTGATCACTTTGGATGATTTTACAGGTCTGAAGTTGATCGATTAACTACATTGCTGCGTTCAAAAGCTGCTGATTCATCCACTATGAATGAGGAGCAGAGAAATGAAGTGAGTATTGTTGTGAGACATCCACCATCACATGAGAGGGATAGGACGCATCAAGATAATGGAAGTATGAACATCCTTGTTTCAACACCTCCTGGAAGTTCGAGAGTAAGAAAGTTGTTTGACATATTAGATATACTATGTATGTTCTATGCTGAGCTTCATGCAAGAGGCCGTTGTTAATCTTTTAATTGTTGATGACATCCTTACCAGGCTCTCGATGAGTGCATTGCTTCGCCAGCACAGCTTGCAAAAGCCTACATGGGTAGCAGACCTTCAGAAGTTACTCCTTCTATGTTGGGGTTGCGTGGTCAAGCGGGTAGGGAAGATTCTGTTTTCCTGAACAGAACCCCTTTTCCGCAAAAGTCACCTACAATGTCACTGGTATCAAAGCCTTCTGGACAAAGACCTTTGGAAAATGGTTATGTTACCCCTAGATCTCGGGGAAGATCTGCTGTTTATAGCATGGCCAGAACACCATACTCTAGGCCTCAGTCCACTGTGAAGGTTCAATTTTGAGCCGTAGCTATATTATTGTAAAGTTCCCAACTTGCTCCCAATTTTTTACATTGTGTTCTTTTTTTTTCAGATTGGGTCTCTTTTTCAAGCATCTCCAAGCACATGGGAAGAAAGCTTGCCTTCTGGTTCTAGACAAGGGTTTCAATCGGTGAGACATTCTGAAATTATGCACCAAATTGATTTCAGATTCGTCTCTGAAACAAATTATTGACATAACTTTTATTTAATTTTGTAGGGTCTTAAACGCAGGAGCTCAGTCTTAGATAATGATATAGGATCTGTGGGCCCTGTAAGGAGGATTCGTCAAAAATCTAACCTTTCATCGCGAAGCTTGGCTCTGCCTGTTTCTGAGAGCCCACTTTCTGTCCGTGCCAATGGTGGAGAAAAAACTACACATACATCTAAAGATAGTGCAGAGGATATTCCTGGTTCAAGTTTTAACCTTGTTCCTACCAAGTCCAGTGAGATGGCGTCAAAAATATTGCAGCAACTTGATAAAATTGTTGCAACGAGGGAGAAATCACCAAGTAAGTTATCACCATCCATGCTTCGGGGTCCTGCCCTCAAAAGCCTCCAGAATGTGGAGGCGCCAAAGTTCTTGGATAATCTTCCTGAGAAGAAGGCAAATTTGCCAGATTCTAGTTATCAAAAGCAGGAAATATCTAGAGAAAGTGTCTCCAGAGAGGTTTTAGCTCCGAGTGAGAAGACTGGTGGTGCTGTTGATGGAACAAGCAAAATAGGTTCCAGTAAAGATCAGGATACGCGTGGTAAAGGTGTTTATTTGCCTCTCACTAATTCTTTGGAAGAGCATCCTCCAAAAAAGAGAGCATTTCGAATGAGTGCGCATGAGGTATATTTTCTAGTTCTTATAGATATATTTCCAGAATGTTAACGAGCTGCAAATAAGAGTGTCAAGGCGGGCAATTCTAGAAATGCCAACCCTAACACCTATAGCTGCAAATATGATTTTGTCCATTAATGTTTTCCTTTTTTCCTTTTTGAGGAACTTTTTTCAATTAAATGCTTTCCTTTTGTTCTTTGTTAATATTTTTACGGCACACCTTTGACCATCTATACATACAACTGTTATATTTCAGGATTTCTTGGAGTTGGATGATGATCATGGTGCAGCATCTACTCCATTTGAAGTGGTAGAAAAACAGAATGCCTTCAAAGTAGAGAAAAATCATATCAGCATGCCTAAAGGGGAGAAACCACTTACTCCGTCAGAAGCCATGCCCTCTACATCATATATTTCTAATGGTGACGCCTCTCAGGGTACTTCTAATGGGTCTCTGGAAACTGGAAGGAACAAGTTTGTTGCTTTCCCCATTGAAGCTGTTCAGCAAAGTAATATGGCCTCTGAACCAACTTCAAAGTTCATCCAAGGGACTGAGAAATCGAGTATTTCTTCTGTCAAGCCAACCACAGAAGAGAAAGGTATCCCTCTGGAAGAGCCTAAAAAACCTGCTGCTGTATTTCCCAATATTTCCTCATCACCGGCTGCAACTGGCTTAGTAAATCAAAACACTGCTGCATCTGCAGACATCAAGTTAGAAAAGACTAGCAGGTTGGTGGCATGATTATTTTTCCTCTCAGCTTGATATGCTTTTATATCATTACTCTTGTCTATCAACCAATGAGCCTCATCCATATTGGTTATGAAAGTTTTATCTGGTTTACTGACTTCTGACTCTCTATCTTGATGTTGCAGCACTGCTTTTGGAGTATCTGAAGCTTGGGCAAAGCCAACTGAATCAAGGAAAACTTTCAGCAACAATGCTTCTGGAGTGGAGTCAACTACCTCAGCTGCATCAACCCTCAATGGTAGTATATTCTCAGCTGGAGCAAACACTGTCAATCCACCTCCGAGTAATGGCTCTCTTACTTCAAGCCCTTTCTTCCAACCTACTATTTCAAATATACCTTCGGATAATTATGTGGCTGAGGTGCCGTCCACTGTTCAATCTCTTGCTGCTACTCACAATTCCTCTAGTATATTTGGAAAGTTGCCTACCAGTAACGACAGCAACTCACAATCAACTTCAGCACCTCCCCTCTCGTCTACATCACCTTTCAAGTTTGGGGAATCTGTAGCTCCATTTTCTGTGCCAGCAGTATCTTTATCTAGCAGTCAGATCTCAAAGGAGACTGAAGTTAAAAACGCCACATTTGGAAATACAAACACTTTCAAGTTTGGAGGTATGGCTTCAGCAGACCCGAGCACTGGCAGCGTTTTTGGTGCTAAATCTGCAGAAAATAAAAGCACACCAGGTTTTGTGTTTGGGAGCTCATCTCCTGCTGTGGCAGATGCAGGTAATAATATCTTCGGTGGGACATCCTCTGTGGTTGGTGGGAGCACATTAAACCCTTCTACTGCTGTAGCTTCTGCACCTGAGAGCTCTGGAAGTTTAATATTTGGTGTGACATCTTCCTCAACCCCTGGGACAGAGACGAGCAAATTTTCTGCGAGTTCTACAGCTACTAATACTGGAAATAGTATATTTGGTGCTTCCTCTCCCGCATTTACAAGCTCTGGCAGTAGCATGTTTGGTGGTGTAGCTGCAAGTACTGGAAGCAGTGTTTTTGGATTCAATGCTGCTTCAACAGCTTCTGCTGCTAGCTCTCAATCTCAGGCCTCAAATCTTTTTGGTGCTGGAAATGCTCAGACGGGTAATACTGGGAGCGGAACCACAACATCAACTCAAAGCATCCCCTTTCAGTTTGGTTCATCTGCGTCAACTCCTTCATTTGGTTTGTCTGGGAACTCTTCTCTTGCATCAAACAGTTCTCCATTTGGATTTTCAAAGTCGGAACCTGCTGTATTTACTTCTGGCTCAACTCCTCAATTGAGTTCGACAAACTCCTCTGCAAGCTCTAGTGGTACAATGAGCTCTCCCCTATTTGGGACAAACTGGCAAGCTCCCAACTCTGCTCCAAACTCTGCTCCAGTCTTCAGTTCCTCGTTCACCACTTCTTCAACTCCTACCTTTTCCTTTGGAGGAACTTCTGCTGCTACTGCTTCGAGCACTCCAGCTCCCATTTTTGGTGCATCTACCAACACCCCGTCACCTTCGCCTATCTTTGGTTTTGGCTCAACCGCTCCTACCACTCCCCAGCAGCCGGTATTTGGTAACTCAGCGACTCCATCACAGTCTCTGTTTGGTAACTCAAATCCTGGGTTTGCATTTGGTGCAGCTAATAATACAAATGGTATCAACAATAACCAACAAGTGAGCATGGAAGACAGTATGGCAGAAGACACAGACCAAGCTAATAAAGCAACCATGGTAGCCCCAATGTTTGGACAAGCAGCTGTCTCGATGCCTCAACCAAACTTTGGCTTTGGTGGAGGAGGAGCCACCCCGCCACCATCAATGGCTAACCCGTTCCAGTTTGGAGGCCAACCGATGGGAAGCACGCCACAGAACGCATCACCTTTCCAGGCATCACAGAGTCTAGAGTTCCAAGGAGGTGGGAGCTTTTCACTAGGCAGCACTGGAGGCGGGGATAAGTCAGGCCGCAGAATCTTCAAAGCAAAGAAATCCAACAGGAAGAAATAAGCAGCAGTGTGGATGATAAGAAAACACATTGCTCATGAAGAAGAGAGTCAATTTATCAGCCTTTTGGTCTTTTTGTTCGCTATATACTCCGGCAAACTTGGGGATTCAGAGCATATCGTCTTTTAATGAAAGAGGTAAAAGTATCAGAATGTATTTCGTTTTATGCTCTTGATCGTCTCTGTCATTTTAGTATCAAGAGTCAGGATTTTGGGGGTTAAATTGTTCAGGGTTATAAAGGTTTGTAGGAAAGTTTTGTAATTTTCAGAAAGTACTGGAGTCTGTAAGAGTAATACGTCTCTCTCTCTCTCTCTTTGTTTTCCTTATTATAAGAAAAACTTTATTGTAGTTGTTTGTAACACTTTCTCAAAATCTTTTCAGTTCTGGTTTACGTTACTAAATTGCCTCATTCACAAACACGGTTTGCCATTTTAATCAAACCAAACCAAGATTGAATAATCCAATTCGATAACATTCTTCTAGGAAGCTTCTTTGAGTTGACCAATTCATTAAAAGTTTTGTTTACTCAATCCAACTAGATTAAGGAAATCGGTAATTTCGAATTCTCGATTTCTCTTTTTCTTCCCAAAGTCTTTTGTCTCTCGGTCTCATCCAAAATTCCCAGATTTATTCACGGAGTTAGAAGAAGAAGAAGAAGATGAGGAGAGTTTTCGGCGCGAAGAAGAACACAGAGCCACCTCCGTCCATTCAGGATGCCTCCGATCGGGTTTGGTTTCTAATTATTTTCTCTTTTTCGATTTCAATTGGGGAAATTACTCTTCGAATCGTTTGTATGTAATGTGAAGAATTCGCGATTGGTGCTGCGGTTTTGAAATTTCACTTTGGATTTAGACAAATTCTGATAGAAAACCAATCCTTAGGAGAATTGGAACCATTAAGCTCCAAAAGTAGAAGAAAAACTGAGATTTGTTTGATGTTTTTTTGTCAGATAAATAAAAGAGGAGATTCGGTAGAAGATAAGATAAAGAAGCTTGATATTGAGCTCTGCAAATATAAAGAACAGCTTAAAAAGACAAGACCTGGTCCTGCTCAAGAAGCTGTCAAAGCTCGTGCTATGAGAGTTCTCAAGCAGAAGAAAATGTTAGTCTATTCATTATGCATTGTTATATTAACTGATTCATCATTCAAGCTACTCTGTGTATTGGATTTGGTTGAGAATAAACACCTTCATAATTACATTTTGATGAATTAGGTATGAAGGACAACGCGACATGCTCTATAATCAGACGTTCAATCTCGATCAAGTTTCATTCGCCGCTGAAGGACTCAAAGATGCTCAACAAACTGTATGTATCTTTTCTTTGTTCTACACATTCAAATTGAATTTTAACAAAAGTTGAGAGGTGTTCAATGTTGGAATGTTTTGTGTATCTCTTAAATCTGCAGATGACGGCACTAAAATCTGCGAACAAGGAGTTGAAAGGAATGATGAAAACCGTAAAGATTCAAGATATTGATGTGCGTTGAAGTTACTTAACAACATTTTGGTTTATCTTATTTCAAGCTTTTCTCTGGTATTTGATTTGCCTGATACTATCTATTGATGGTACAGAATTTGCAAGACGAGATGATGGATCTGATGGATGTGAGTTCTGAAATTCAAGAAACACTTGGTAGAAGCTACAATGTTCCTGATGGCCTTGACGAAGATGACCTCATGGGAGGTAAATTTCTTGTTGCGTTATTCAAAGATTAAGGTTCTTTTGATATGTGTTTCTCATACCATTTACGTTCTTTTGATATATTTCAGAGCTTGATGCTCTTGAAGCTGACATGGGAAACGAAACCGAAGCAGATGGAATGCCTTCTTATCTCCAACCTGATACAGAAACTGATTACGATAACGAGCTTAACTTGCCTGCAGCACCAACAGGACGCAATGGAGCTCAACAGGGAAGAGTTCAGGTTAGTTTTAATCTGAGAATTTTGAAATGCTTTAGGTATGATTACCTTTTGATGGATGGCTAATGAGACCTTTTAACGATGTGATTAACAGGCTGAGGACGAATTTGGATTACCAGCAGTGCCACGAGCTTCTCTCCGGGGTTAAGTTCCACCGATTCTCTTATTGGGTGGAGCTACTAAGCTTTTATTTAGCCTTAGTGTCTTTATTCATTTGTGCATAACGTTTTTAACTTTGATAAACTTCCTTTCGGCTTTCTTATTGACTTCATAAATTGTCTTATTTCATATATATCATATTTTCTTTGTTTCTCACATATAGTTTCTATCATCAATGACACAAAAGGAGGAGAATTTTCTACTTGCAGAACATTTGCATTCGAGGAGCTGCCAAAAAAAAACCCAAAAAAACGTTAAATGGGCCATCCAAAATCTTAATGGGCCGCTCGTCGCTTTGAATCTCCCTCTCCTTGTCTCTCTCTCCCTTTCTCTTTCTTGCTCTGTCTTAATCGATGGATCAACCACCAGATCGGAGCAAGCGACCATGGAAATTCTCCACCTTCGTCTACTCTTCATCGATCTTAATCCTTCTTCTTTCGATATTCTTACTCGGATTCACTAATACCGATCTCTACAAAGTCCAAAGTCTGAGATTCACCTTCACTGCGAACCGCATCTATAGCTATCTTCAATTCCTTCTAAGCTTTCACGATGGAACTCCCAAATCCGAAACCCTAGACCCAGCTTCGTCTACGTCGCATTGCGTGTTATGGATGGCTCCTTTTCTCTCGAGTGGTGGTTACAGCTCAGAAGCTTGGTCTTACATTTTATCACTTCATAACCATCTCACAAACCCTAAATTTCGAATAACCATTGAGCACCATGGTGATCTAGAATCAGTGGAGTTTTGGAATGGTTTAGCTAAGGAGACTAAGGAGCTAGCGATTGAAATGTACAGAACACAATGTAGACCCAATGAGACGATCGTTGTTTGTCATAGTGAGCCTGGTGCTTGGTATCCACCATTGTTCGAGACTCTTCCTTGTCCTCCAACTGGTTACGAAGATTTCTTATCTGTGATTGGTAGAACAATGTTTGAGACTGATAGAGTCAATCCTGAGCATGTCAAGCGATGTAATCAGATGGATCATGTTTGGGTTCCTACTGAGTTTCATGTCTCTTCGTTTGTACAAAGTGGGGTTGATTCATCTAAGGTTGTCAAGATTGTGCAGCCTGTAGATGTCGGTTTCTTCAATCCTTCAAAGTATGAGCCTTTGGATCTGATGGCAGTTGGGGATTTGGTTTTGGGTTCTGGAATGAAGAATGCGGGTTTAGGGTTTGTGTTCTTGAGTGTGTTTAAGTGGGAGCAGAGGAAAGGTTGGGATGTGTTGTTGAAGGCTTACCTGAGAGAGTTCTCTGGTGAAGACAATGTTGCTCTGTTTTTGTTGACAAACGCGTATCACTCGGACAGCGATTTCGGGAACAAGATTCTTGATTTCGTAGAAGAATTGAATATAGAAGAGCCTCGAAATGGTTACCCTTTTGTGTATGTGATTGATAAACACATTGCTCAAGTTGATTTGCCTCGGTTGTACAAAGCGGCTGATGCGTTTGTGTTGCCTACAAGAGGAGAAGGATGGGGACGACCGATAGTGGAAGCAATGGCAATGTCTTTGCCTGTGATCGCAACAAACTGGTCAGGACCAACGGAGTATCTGACAGAGCAGAATGGTTACCCGTTGGTGGTAGAGGAGATGAGCGAAGTGAAGGAAGGTCCTTTTGAAGGGCATCAATGGGCTGAGCCATCTGTAGATAAGCTTAGGGTTCTAATGAGGCATGTAATGAGTAATCCTGATGAGGCTAAGGTTAAAGGAAACCGTGGAAGAGACGACATGGTCCAGAAGTTTGCTCCTGAGGTTGTTGCTAAAGTTGTAGCGGATCAAATAGAGAGAATCTTTGATGAGAAAATAAAAACATGACAGGAATATCACACTTTGCTTAGATAAGTAAGGAAACGAGAGGGAACAAGAATTGTATTTTGATTCATGGATTGTTCCAAAAAGAGCAAATATGTCAAAGAAGAGCTTATTCTCAAGTTTCTTACGAAAAACTTAAAACAGTTGAGTTTAGTTTTCGATTTATTTTGCTACTGGAGATGAGAAGCAAAAGCTGACATGACTTCCTTGTACACTGGCTTCTTGAAATCCACTGCCTGTATAACAGAAATAGAACGAAAATTAGTAAAGAAAGTAGTGGAATCTAAATGCTGAAGGTCAAGCAAAAAGAATAAAACTGTACGTACATGTTCAACGACTTGATCAGGAGGAGTCCAGGACCATTCACCAAACTCAGGTTTCTCAGAACCATCGCCAAGAAGATTGATTTCTTCATCTTTCCCAGTAAATTTCAGAAGAAACCTGAAAAGACACATTTATTTGAACAAGCCGATAATGAAATGACAAGATTCTTGATTATCTTAGAGACCTTATAAGTCCTTAAGCTTCTGCCTAACATGATAACCAAGAAGACTCACCATTTCTGTGCTTGACCCTTCCAATCAGATCCCCATCGGACCTTGAGCTTCTCCCTAACATCAGGAGGGAAGTCGTACGTTATCCAGTGAGGTGCCTACACCCATAGTAAAACAAAAGCGTTTTTTAGGCGAATTCTCAAAAGGGAACATGTTTTTCATCGTTAGTAAATTGTTGAATGTTTAAGAAGAAGAAGAAGAAACACCTCAGCGACAATCTCAGCAGAGTGAACTCCAGTCTCTTCTTTAAGCTCTCTCATGACTGCAACTCTTGGATCTTCACCCTCATCGATTCCACCCTATCAACATCAACAACAACACACGGTTCTGAATCCAATCGGAGATAAATTGTAAGAAAGTAGAGAAACCTGGGAACATGAAAGATAAAACACAAATTCGAAAGATGGAAATAGGTGAAATTCGAATCATCTATATAGAGAACATATGCGCTTGGGATGCAACAACAAGTGGAACCATTGCTTTCAGCTTTCAGATTCAAAATCTTAAGAAATACGAATCTAGAGATTACCTGAGGCATTTGCCAAGCACTGGGAATATCCAACCTCGAGGCAGTGAAAATCTGCACTTAATTGAGAACGAGCTATCAGAAAAATGAAGCTGTTTCCAATTATCCATCATCAATCATTACCTTTTTGGAAGAATTCATGAGGCAGACACCGACATTTCTTCTGTAACCTTCAGGAGGAGATTCCATGGAAGACGACGACGATGAAGAACAACACCGAGCGGAGGAGGAGGAGACCGGAGACTTACTGCAGCGGTGGAGGAAGGGCAGGCTCGAGAATTTGATCGGTTTCGAAGGGTAATTTCGGAAAAACGGAATTACTGTCGGAGAAATTGGGCGATGATTTAAAAGAAAGGGTCGGTACAGTGCCATTTCGAGCCCAAAACCTATTTTTCCACGCATTCGGGAAATTAATATCTTATTAGACAACTATGCCCCTGACTCGTCCTGAATATTACGGACAAAGACTATTACCTTATTATTACGGACAAAGACTATTACCTTATGTTTGACAAAAAAAAAAAAAAAAAAAAAAAAAAAAAAGACTATTACCTTATTAGAGAACTCTTTTTTTGGGGTGTTTAAGGTCGAATTTTCATTTTGCTAATGACATATGAATGTTATGTGTAATTACGTACATACCACAAAGATATGAATTATGTTTGGTTTTCAATTGATTGCAACTCCAAATCATAAGTTCCAAATGGACAAAAAAAATGTTATAACAAAGCAAGAACTGTAAATTCCAGACATTAATCTTGAACCAAAGGAAACCATGTTGAATCCATTACTACACCAATAAATCAAACTCTTGTTTCCTAAGTCTTTGAGTCAAACCCAATAAACTCAGCCTTAGTATCTTCTTGCCGGCCGTCCAAACACAGCAGGTGCCATAGCTTGTTGTGTCTCCACTTGAGAAATCCCAGGAGTATCAGACATTCCCAAAGAAGCAAGCATCTCTAGAGTCTCTTTGTCCACCTTAACATCATCGGTTTTAATGGCTGATTCGTCGGGGACAAAGTCCATTCGCCGTTCACGCTCTTCCTCTTGTAGCTTTAGAGAGATTCCACGGACTGGACCCTTTTGGATACGTTTCATCAAGTGAGTGGAGAATCCAGCAATCTTGTTGCGTAGTCTTTTCGATGGAATGATTGCAACTTCTTCTAAGATCTTCTTGTTGGTATGGAAGTCCAGAGTCATCCGTGAGTAGTACTTCTCAATCACCTGACGTGAAGACTTCTTCACTGTTTTGGTACGAACACGACCCATCTTTCACAATGTTAGAATTACCTGCCCAAATTCAGACAAACCAGAGTATAAAAATCAGAGAAATGCAGATACAGAGTCTTAGAGTGACTACTAATTGTGTTCTTTAGTGTTAACTTATGACTCAGATTTTTGTAAGGACATCAATAACTCAAAATCTTTAAAGTTCAAACATTGAGTAGCATCAGATATTAATCAAATAGTTTTTTACAAATTCTCAATGATTCTTTACGTGAAAATCAAAATCAGGATTCAATTTCACTTATCCCGTGAAATTCCAACATTAAGGTAAATGATACAATTTAAAGAGATGCAGAAAAATCAAGAGAGATCCAAAATGGAGCTACATTGCAACAGAAAATCAAAAGAATCAAATGAAAATCGAGCTGCATCTGTAATAACAAAGAAAAAAAACAAGTTCTTAAGAATCTACTACACAAGCTAAGACTAGACTCAAGACACAAATTCGCAAATGGTAAATCGAAATTAACGCACAAGACTGTTGAATTCTGTACGTTTTTAAGGTAAACCGAACGTACCTGTACGGCTTGGCCGGAGCTGGAGAGTAGAGAAGTCTACGCGGCGGAAAATACAGAGGAAAGCAAAGAAGACCACGAAAATTTGTGTGGTATATATATATGAGTCAATGTTAGGGTTTGTTATTAGGCTTGTACTCTACACTCAGGTATCTTAACCAATAATAATGTTACAAGTCATAAGCGTAGTTGACAAAAGTCAATTTCCGACTCAACTTATTTAAACGGGCTTTAATATGAGGCCCATTTTATAATCAGTGGGCATTAGAATCAATCAATCGGACCAATATAGACAATATCAGATCTTGCAAGATGCCAAATACTTTCCTGCTGTTTTTATATATCATCTAATCTAAAGTATCATCCCTTTGAGGGAAATATGAAAGAATTCATTTATTCACGAACTTTATTGGGATCTTTATCTTCTAATTTTCGTATCAAAACTTACGCATATCATCTATATCCATTTTCACAAAACACTGTTAGATACATGTCACTATGATCAAAACTTGATTAATACTTTCGTCTAACCATTCTAATATTATTTTTTGTACAGTTCTATTTGGGTTGTCTTTATTTTAGTGGCTTTGGAATATTTGGATTTGAGAAGATTACAAAAATATTCTATATCTGTAAAGCGAATGTCAAAATCTAAATTCTGAAAATCAAATACAATCTTTCAAAAAGAATAAGTCAGTCAACGAAGATGGATAAAGAAACAATGTCAAGTGTCAACATCTTCAAAGGCAAGAAAATGAGATTCTATTGACTACACTGAAAATGGACTTCACTAGCTTCTCCACAGACTTTATTTTTGTCAATTTGATATTTGCATGTTTTCTCTCGACATATGTTAGTTAACCAAAAATTAACTACATGACAGATTGACATTTGATTTACCTTTTGATATATTTGCAAATAAAAACATGATATCAACTAACATCAATTTATACTATACATACCTCAAACTCACCATTGTACAAGTTTCTATTTTTCTGCAAACGTTACATCAATAATTCGCTCTTTTTATCATACCTCTACTCACTCTAGTCTAGTCTCCTCTACTTGTCCAACACTAAATGACAAATTCGTTATTTTTGTTTAGAGTGACATAATTTTTTATTTTGGTCAAAATTGTCACCAAGTTCTTTTTACTAAAACAAGAATTTTAATTAACTCAACACTATGTTGATTCTTTCAAGGCTTTCAACATCTTTGAAATCTAGAGACCCGTCTCCTTCAGCATCATAGCTCGCATGAACACTATAAAACACATATATGAGAACTGCTAATCCCGAGAAGAATCCGAATCTGATATACGAAGGAGCATCCAATGATCCAAGCAAGAAAATGTTCAAAAATATTGAAACGCATGGAGTCCACGGCATCAACGGTACACCCCAAAACTCAGGGATCCTAGCTTGAGGTACAACACAATGGAATATCTGGACGATGGCTATAGCCGTGACCGCGCTGGCTCCGAGTATGAACCATTTAGGTGGGCCTCGCGGTGCAAGTTGCCAGACTAAGGTGAAGAAAATTGAGGTTATGGAGAATAGGCAGAGGAAGGAGAGTGTTGGCCATGGCTTGGTGTATCCGACCGCTACATAACGGCGAAATATAACAGCGTTTGAGACCATATAGAAGACGAATAGCGTTCCGATGGATACTAGGTTTAGGAGGACGTTTAGGTCGGTGAAGAGGGCGAGAACCGCCGTGAAGATTCCTGACCAAACAGTATAGACAACATTTGGAAGTTAAGGGATATGCCGAGATCCATATTCTTTAGTTAGTTTAATCAATCAGATTAGTATCTAATAATGCAGATATATTCGAAGATGTTATAAAGTCGATTTTCGAATAAGAATATGTTCCATTAGTTCACTTGGTGAATGACACCTTTTTGTGAAAGATTTTGAGCTTTTGTTCCCCGTTCAAGATCTCTCTTGGTCTTTGTTCAAAAAGATTATAGATATGATCAAAAGTCTCAGAATTTTTCAAAAAGCTTTTAAGGGACTATATAAAAGTTAGTGGATGCAAATTTGGTAAATGACAATTGTTTTATTTGAGGCATAGAGTATCTGTACATAATTTTAATATTTTTTTGAGTATTTTGGTTTATAGAATATAGTATCCAAAACTATTAGATCAGCACTTTAACTTTGGAATAAATATATTAGAAACCAATGCTTATAAGAAGGAATATGCAATTGAAAACAAAATTGTGGGTCTAGATTCGCTTCCACGACTCATGCATTTTGGGAAAACTATAGTATAATAACGATTCCAAGATCTTACTCACCACTATTTAACTAATATACATTATTTGGTGAGACTAATGACATGACCTTAAGATGTTATGCGTAAACTTTGCATTGAGTGGGAAATTTGAGAGCTTGAAACAGAGAAAAAAGCTGAATATATACACTAAAAACAAAAAGGGACCAAAGAGACTCAACAATATGTCACAATCAAAACCGTTGAAAAGATTGAACCCATTTGGTGAACACGACCACGACATTTTTATCGTATGCGATGCTCTAAATTAAGACCCAACACCAAAAATCACATAAGAACATAAGACTATGGCCTACATTAATATAGACACTCAGTCACACAGCTTCAAAACCACAATCACAAACAAAATCAGTTGGAGAAATTTTATGTTTTAAATAGTAAACAACAAAAGTCAATTTTATTGTTTTCTCCTTCCCTACAAGTATATGTATGTATAATCATGTGAAAGTATGATCTACATTACACTGAAATCCAAAAAGATCATGGAAACAGACAAACAAACAAAAACCAAAAACGGATGTCCCCACTATCAAACTGTCTCTTTATCACATGTTGTAAATAAAACAGAGAAAAAACATAAAACCGATCTTTACGAAAGGAAAATTCCAACATAACCTTAAAAAAAAAAACGATTTATCTTATTTTTCCTAAATTTGATCAAGACTTTTTTAATAGAATAAAATTAAATGTTATGAGAGTGAGGACAAAAAGTTACCAAGAAAAGCGGAAGCGTTGACTGGAGTAGATGTCTTGGGATGAACTTTAGCGAACCAAATGGGGACAACTCTTGACCGTCCGATGACACACATGTACCGAGCCTGACCCAACATGGCTACTAACAACGACGTCAATATCCCAAAACTTGCTCCTATCCCTACCACTTTCGTCACCCATTCCCATCCTTCCGATTTACTAAACGCCGCCGAGTACGGTGCTTCCGCATCTATCTGCTTACGTACACACAACCACACCAGATCATTACCCACAAAACCAATATAATAAAAAAAATCTCAAAAATAAAATTATGTTACGGACCAGATCGTACGGGAGAAGCATTGACATGGAGATAGCCATTAAACAGTAAAGTACAATGACGATTGCGACTGAGCCAGAGATTCCCATTGGTATGTCTTTGACTGGGTCTTTTACTTCTTCAGCCATTGTCGAAACGGCGTCGTATCCTATGTAACTTAGGTAAACCATTGCTGCTCCGTTAAACACACCCGAAACCCCGAACGGGAAGAATCCGGATGGATTTTCCGGGTTATCGGGTCGGGTTAGATTCTTTATGTCTCCTTTCCAAAAACCCATGACGATCACGAATACTAAGAATGCAATGTGTAACGCCGTTAAAACCATATTCACCTTCGAACTCTCTCTCGTACTGTAACAGATGATGAACGTGACGGCGAGGACGACGATAACGGCGATTGGATCGATTTCGTTGAATCCGTTTGGGAGACCGGAGACGATGAATCTCCACTCCGATGTTGAGATTCCGAAAGCAGATCCGAGATAAGCTGTGAAGCCTCTTGAAACGGCGGCGTTTGACATGACGTAGTCCATTATCAGATTTGCTCCGGTGATAAACGCCGGGAACTCGCCTGTAACGGAACAAATGAATGACCGGAGAAGAAAGAAACGGTTACAGATTTGAAATTTGAATTTCTCTGAGATTTTGGGAGTTTTGATTTTGGCGGGAGAGTGTACTGACCGAATGTGATACGGATGTAGCTGAAAGCACCGCCGGCGACGGGGAGGTGGACGGCGAACTCGGTGTAACAGAAGGCGGAGAGGAGAGCGCAGAGTCCGGCGATTGCGTAAGAGACGACGATTGATGGACCAGCGTAGAGACGACTAGCACGGCCGGTGGTGACGAAGACTCCGGCTCCGATCATTCCGCCGATTCCGAGTCCGATGAGATCGTACCAACGGAGAGTGCGGCGCATCTGCTCGCCGGAGACGGCGCGGACGCGGCTCATCTCGTCGTAAGAGGTGGAAACGGAAACGGCGCGGCGGGAAAAACGGGAGGGAGTGTCGGAGAGAGAGTTGAGGTAGACACGGAGGCTAGAGAAGGAGGTGTCTCCGTCGTTGTTCCGGTACTGGGCCTCCATTTTGGATTCAGGTCGGGTCAATATGTAACGGATTATAATGTTTTTGAGAGTAATTTGAAACAAGTGGTTTTATAATGTGAGATTGCAAAAGACTGAGAGACGGAAAAAAAATGAGCCGCTTTTGGTGTTATTATTACAAGCTTTGGAAACGCTAATTCGTTTTTTTGGTTTTTGTTTTTGGTCAACTTGGATTTATTATTATGGGATTAAAGTAGCTTCTATTTTTTGTATTCATGATGATCGATCAGTGATCACATAAGCATCGACTAAAATTGATGAAAAAAAAAAAAAAGCATCGACTAAAATAAATAAATCACGTAAGCATTAACCCAAAGATTCGGTAATCTGTTCGGTCTAGCCATTTTTATTATTTAAATTTTAACACCAAATATTTAATTCCTAGTTTGATTGTTTATGATATTCTTCTCCTTCGACAATGGTCGATAATATTCACAACTTGTTTGTTTAACGACTGCAATCAATGAACATGTATAAATGTAATTGGGTTTAGTGTCAAGAGTGACCAACCAGTAACCGGGATCTTAGCAATTCGTCTCATTATTCACAACTAGGTATATAAGTATGATTTGATTATTGCCCTTAAGTTGTGTGCAGAGATTTTGAAAAAAAAGAGACATGAAATACTCACAACAAATACCGATTTGGAAAAGGGAAATATACAAAAAAATGAGATGAAAAAAAAACAATTTTTGTTTCTTTCATATTTACTAAGTTCTTAATTTAAAATATGAAAATTTTGACTATTTATTTTATTTTTGTGTTATAAGTTCTATAACCTTTTGTATTTTAATTGCTAGCACGTGTGAAAACATAAATTTATTTGTACACGTATCATAATCTAATTGGCTGTAAATTCGTCATTATTTGTACACGTATCATAATTTTAATTGCTAGCACGTGTGAAAATATAAATTTATTTGTACACGTATCATAATCTAATTGGCTGTAAAATCGTCATTATTATAAAACACATTCAACTTTTAATAAAAAGATATAGGTAACTAAGTGAATGACAATATAAATCAGTAGAAAGAAATTAAATAAAGACATTGTATACAACATAGTAAAATCAGACATTAAAGTTAATTACCCATAAAATAAAACAAAAAAAGGAAGAAAACTTAATAAACCCCAATTAGAGAGAAGATAAGCTATATATTTTTTGTTACTTGAGTTTGTTTATAAGCCTGCTACGTCCCTTACAAGAGTTATATAGTTCTCCAGATTCACAACATTTTGTTTTGTAGACTTTATTTTCCTTAATTTGTTTTGGGAATTATGGTTGAAACTTCATGGACAAGAGAGGAGAACGAGAAGTTTAAGAATGCACTGGTGATTTTCTCTGTCTTTTTGCCTACTCGGTTCAAGAGTATCGCGGAGTATGTGCAGAAATCGGTGGCTGATGTTAAGGAGCATTACAAGGAAATGGTCAATGATCTTTTAGAGATGGGATCCAGTCGAGTTGCTTTTCCTAATAAATTGACTGAGGCTATGGCTCAAAGTTCATACCAGGCCGAGAGAACTAAATGGAACAAAGAAACACATGAGTAAGTATATATAAAGCAAACCCTTTATAAAAAATAGAGTAAAGGATGATTGATGAGTTAAGATTTTTGTTAGTTAGTGGAATTTACATTTGATGATAGAATAGCGGTATTGTTTTGCGGATCTAGCTAGACACTATATTTGTTTAGTTTACTTTATCTCTTTTAAATTAAGATCATTAACTAATTGCATGGTGAAACTTGATTAAAAATGGGCTGATATATATCAGATTTCTCACGTATATATGAACTGGTGGAAAATTGTAATGCAGATGGTTTCTGATCGGGTTAAAGCGGTTTGGAAAAGATTGGCGTAAAATAGCCGTCTTATTGGATTCCAAGAATCCGAAGCAAGTGGAGATATATGCACATAGCTATTTCAACTGGCAAAGCTCAGAGAAAAATGTGATGAAACGCCCTAGAGCCAACGACATAACTGTGGCGAATACGGATGTAAATGTGATGAAACGGCAGAGAGCAAATGACATGGTGGACACTGGACACCAATGTGGGCTCAACGGGCCAACAAGAGAGTCTCGTCGTTCATCCGCAGCCACAACACATGAGCCGATTGTTATGCAAATCGGTCACCATGCTAAGGCCTCCAACTCAAAGTGATATAAATTTTTATGACCGTATTAACAACTAAAATTAAAAACGCGTTGTGAAACAAATTAAAGCCTAAAGATATTGAAGGCCCTTAATTATTTTTGCGTCGTATATTAAAGATTTGGGGTTTCCATTTTTTTGTAAACCATATGTTATTTACTTTTGTTGTGGTCAGCTATTTATTTTCTTTAACCATAAAATAATACATATATTTGAATGTTTTTGTTTTTTGCGTTTCTTCATCTAAGCTAAATGGAGCTTTTAAGTTAAGTAGTATATATAAAGTTGGGGTTAAATAGGAAACAAAATAACTTGAAATCTCCTTAATTACTCTCCAGAGTAACAAAATAACTTGGAACAGTTCAAGTGGATAGGATAATTAATGATTATATCAAGTATAGGATTATATGTTAGTTTTTATTTTAAATAGTTTCAAACATTAACAAAAGCCAAGATATATATATTTTTAAAATGAATAGTAGATCACACTAATTAAATGATCAATATTTAGTTAACCATTTGTCTTTCAGTATATTTAATTTATATGGAAGCTAAGACCAAAATTTTGTAAGAAGCTATACTTCTGAATTCTTTCTTTTACTGAAAAGTAATCTTTTTTTTCTTTCTGTGATAAAGGGCCGCGTAAACACGTTTAAAAGAAAGAAAGCTATTGAGTTAGATAGATAATATGAGGGTTTAAAACGAAATAAAAATAACTCGGGTTTCTTTTGTTAAATTAAGAAAAGATGAGGATTAATTTTGCAATTTTCCCTATTATTTCTTACTAAAAAATTCGATAGGAAACGAAAAAAAAACCCCAATAACAAACCCTCTTCAGTGACAGAATCCACAAACGAATTTTCCTGATTTTTCGCGATCTCGTGATTTTTTTTTCATTTTCTTGGATATTATGGCTTGGACTCCGCCGTGGACGAGGGAAGATGACCAGCGTTTTGAGTTAGCCCTGGTGATATTCCCGGAGGACTCGCCGTCGTTTTTGGAGAACATCGCTCAGCTTCTGCAGAAACCTTTGGGAGTGGTAAAGTACTACTACGACGCATTGGTCTACGATGTTGCGCTGGTTGAATCGGGTAAGTATGCTTTACCAAAGTACCCGGACGACGATAACGTGTCACTGACGGAAGCGACTCAGTCCAAACACGGGGAGACGAATCAGATAACGAGGATAATTCCTTGGACAGAAGAGGAACACAGGTTAGTCGTCAAAGACTTATGAATTAGGGTTTCTTTTGATTGAGGAAAAGTCTTAAACCTTGCTGGAGTTGATGAATTTTTAGGTATAAGTTAAAAGAGTTAAAATGTATACTAAGAATAATAAGAATGTTGATTATAATAATCTTGGGGATTGATATTTCTGATTAACGTCTTTAGATTGTTGAATTAAGATGATGAATAATCGTGTTTGTGAGGGAATGTTTTGACCTTGATTACTTATGGGCTTTTGATTGTTTAGATTGTTTCTGGATGGATTGAACAAGTATGGGAAAGGAGCTTGGAGTATGATATCAAGGGAATTTGTGAAGACAAGGACCAAAATACAAGTAGCAAGCCATGCACAGAAGTATGACAAAAGGCAAAAATTGGACATTAAGAAGAGGAAACGCAGGAGTATCCATGACATAACTTCGGAGTCGAGCTACCATGGGCAAGCCAGATAACTTTGGAGTCTAACTTGGAGTTGTTCCTTTTCTCTAGTTTCAGTAGGAGGATATGAGTTCGCTTGATGTGTATAGGATGATGATGATATCAAGTATATCATGAGTTTTGCTTGACGATGATGTTTTAGTGTTTAGGGGGATGATGATGATATATATATTTAGGATGATGATGATGAAGTGTATAAGACCGGTTTGAACAAACTAAAAATGTTAATCTCTTTTTTTTTTTTTCTGTGATAAACACGTTTAAAGAAAGAGAGCTATTTTGAGTTAGATATATAATACAATATGGGGGTTAAGAACGAAATAAAAATAAGTCGGGTTTCTTTTGTTAAATAAAGAAAAGACTAGGGTTCCTATTATTTTCTCACTATATAAATCTGATAGGAAACGAAATAACCCTCGATATCAGCAGATTTCTTAAAATTTTCTTTCTTTTTATTGCTTCTATCAGATTCCTGATCTTTAGCTATACCGAGATTGCTCTCTTTTTCTTGGATACTATGGATGAAATTCCGCTTTGGACGAGGGTCGATGACAAGGATTTTGAGTTGGCTCTGGTTCGATTCCCAGAGGGTTCGCCGTATTTTTTGGAGAATATCGCTCAGATTCTGCAGAAATCGTTGAAGGAGGTGAAGCACTACTACAGCGCGTTGGTCCACGATGTTGAGCTAATCGAATCGGGTAATTTTGCTTTGCCCGAGTACAGGGACGAGGATTACGTGTCACTGAAGGAAGCGACTAAGTCCAAAAACCAGGGCACGGGGAAAAAGAAGGGAATAGCTTGGTCACCAAACGAACACAAGTTAGTCAAAGACTTATGAATAAAGTATTTCTTTGGATTGTGGTTTAAATCTTGCTAGCTAGGGATTATGAATTAGGGTTCTGTTGACTAGGGAAAGTATATAGCATAACAGTTTAAAAATCTTGCTAGGGTTGATGAATTAGGGTTTTGTTGGTTAGGGGTAAGAGGATCGTATAAATATCACGTATTTGCTAAATATAGATGAATATAATATTGTTGATTAATATTGATGTGCTCTTGGTTATGGACTTTTGGTTAATTAATGAATGATATTTAATTTTGTAGATTGTTTTTGGATGGACTAAACAAGTATGGGAAAGGAGATTGGAAGAGCATATCGAGGAAATGTGTGAAGACAAGGAGCCCGATGCAAGTGGCAAGCCATGCTCAGAAGTATTTCCTAAGGAAAAACAAGAAGGGGAAACGCATGAGTATCCATGACATACCTCTGGGAGATGCGGACAATGTAACCGTACCTGTATCCAACTTGAATTCTATGGGCCAGCAGCAGCCACATTTTGGAGACCAAATGTTTCCGGATCATTATTACCACTGCTCCCAGGACAATGTAACCAATATCCCTGGATCCAACTTGATGTTTATGGGCCAACAACCACATTTTGGTGGCCAAATTCCTCCGGATCAATGTCACCCCTACTCCCGGGACAATGTAACTGTCCCTGAATCTAACTTGAAGCCTATGGGCGAGCAGTCACATTTTGGTGACCACATTCCTCTGGATCAATATGACCGCGACTTCCTGGACAACTTCGGGTTTTTCTATGATGATTATGATGATGGTGAAGACGATGGGAGTTTAGCAAGCTTTGAAAAACTATATTATAAGGCTTAAGCTTTATGATGAGATTTTCTGGTTTAGGGTTTTAGAGTTTTGTTTCTGGTCTAGACTTTAGTTGTAAAACTAACTTGAATGGCCATTTATTTTATTTTTTGGTTTCTAACAATTGTCTGACAATTTATACTTCTGAACATGACAACAAAACATTTAAAATTTCTATATATGCATATTTGTCTTCAGTTGGAGGAAGGATGATTCTTCTCCTCTTCTTTTGGTCGGATCTTCGTTATACCTTTGAATTTATAGGCCATAGCATTTGTAGTTGATCTCAATGTGGGTTTTCGTTTGCTTTTTGCTACAAGATTTTCTGTATTAAAGTATTTGAGACTGTTACTCTGGTATTATCTTTACCAATTCTTAGGTTAGTACTGTTGGTTTAACACAGAAAGACATTTTCCAGACAAAACTGAATATGAATCTAATTTATACAACACACTTTGAGTAGCTAAATATAGGGTGTGATAAAGCTTGAGCCGAAACCAAAAAAGGATGCAGCTTTATTTCAATGCAAAGTAAGGTATTTGATCCCTTCTAGATGGTGGGAATTGTGCACCAATTGTCTCATGTTGTGGTGCTTGGTATGGATTGAATTGCTGCAAGAGGATTCACTTGGTATGAAAATGCAAGCTTCCAGAAATCTACTATTGCTTTTCTTGTGGACTCCATTTGCCTGCGAATGATCCTGAAACAAGGAAAAAAAAACACACACAGCTTATATTGTGGTTCACAATGTATTTCGTCATCACACAACTTCTGATCATTCAAGCATATACTGTATGAAGCAAGCTTAGAAGGATTCTTACCGTATCAAAGCAGCTCGTTTTCTCTTCAAGGCATAACATATGATTAATCCAACAAGGCTTATGGCAAACTTTCCCCTGGACATGCTAAATTGGGTATTACCAACCTTGAGGCTTAGAGGATGGGATGACCAAAGTGACCAAGGTTCATGTTGTTTAAAGAGTTTCAGGACAGAATCAATCTCATCATTCTTTTCATTAGCCAACGACTTCTTGTTATTCACTACAGCATAAGAAGAATCCTTAGAATTTTCCTCAAAAGAACTAGCGTCTGGAACATTTGCTGTTTTGAGAGAAAGTAACAAATGCAATCTTCTCAAAATCCCCTGAAATAGACAGTTTAGTGTAGCATCTTAGTTAGAACACATTCACATGTTCATACACAACTCACGAAAAGATTCGATAGTACCTGTCGTCTTTCCTCAGGTAATGCAGCTTTCTCAACCCATGAAATGGCTAGGCCTCTGTCGTTTGAAACTTTAGCAAGAACTCCAAAGGTATACAGCTCCACTACTTCCATGTACTCATCAATATCTAAACAGTTTTTCTCACGGAATCCTTTTGCACTTACTCCATCATCATTTAGGATATAGTGGTTGTCCTTGTAAACCCATATGTTAAAGAACTCTTCCAGAATCTCACGTACACCCGAGTAGGAACCACTTGATATTTGAAGGCATATTCTAAAGAAAAAAAAAGGGAAGAGGATCAATAAACTAGATTTCTAAGTTTCTACAGTAATGTTCTGTGACTTTTGTCTATGCTAATGCATTCAGAGAGCAGTATTGTACTCCCCTTAATAAGTAAAAGTTAGCAAATAATACGACCTCTCAATTCTTTTCTCTCACTGGCCTCTTCAGTTATGAATGTCATTTACTCCTAGTTCTGAAACCTATCTCAGAAATAATCAAAATCCTTCCTTTCAAGTGTATTAAGCTATAATAATGTCAAAGAAACAGAACAAGAACGATACCCAGTGAGAAGAACTTGAACAGGAATTGCTGCAACTTCTCCAAACACATCTCTTAACTCATTTACAATCTCAACTGTCCTGCATGAAAAAGGAATTGTTAGCAAAAACCATCACATAGCCAAAACTTTAAAGTTTCTTACAACATCCAATTCCAAATAGAAGTAAGAGGGAAAAGAACTACTCAGTCATGAAATATACCTGCCGATTCCATGCAAAGATTGGACTAAAACCATGCCAGCAGATTCCAAAATATCATGAAATTGATGATCACCTAGAGCAGCTTCCTTGGATAAAACATCCATATTGCCAAATATTCTTTTAAGTATAAAAGAGGATAATGACTCTGCCTCTTCATACATAGAGCACACTAGGTAACTATACGCATCAAACAAAAACAAAAAATGAGCAATTAAAATTGGTACTGAGCCAATTTCGCAACTTGAAAACAGAAAATGTTTACAAGTATTAGATAAATTTGAGTCACTTTCATTTTAACTTGTTTCTCTTGTCAAGTATGAGCTGAATCATTTTTCTACAAAATCTATACATAATTGAATCAAAATCAGACAGACTATTCTCGTGAAAACTAATTCTGGGAAAATTTTCATTTCTCCTTATACGCATCGCCAAGCACGGAACCAAAATTCGCAAAAAAAGTAGCAAGCATGAAAAACTAAAATTTAAGCAAATTCTCACGAGTACCTCTCAGAACGTTCGATTTCTCCCCAAATATCAGTTGCCTCCATTGTTAGAGGTATTGGAAGAAGCTTATCCATAGCTTTGATCTGACACAACATAGCCAAGAGATTGTTTATGCTCGAATGAAGAAGAAGACGAAGAAGGAGCGAGGGAGAGGTAATAATTGTGGGTATTGCTATTGGGCTAATATAATGGGCTTATCCATCACAATTCTAACCAAAGCAAGCTAAGCCCATCCAAGCCCAACAAAGCTGATTAGCATTATTCTTCTTGTTAATTGGCAATTAGTTCAAACATTAATTATCATGAACATGGAACTACGTGTCAATTATCTGAGCTAACTTTGGCGGCTCTTTAACATCCACACCAATGGAAGTCCCACATCACATGCATGTCTTCTCTTTACATCTACTTTGTTGGCAATCTAAAATCTCGATTATATATATAAAGTTTATTATTACTTTGATGTTGATCCTTCTTCATGTGACATTCTTTCTATCTATCATATTCCTTAATTTCGGTCGTTTCATCTATTTCACATTATTTAGATATATATTTTCAACATTCTAAATCTCAAGTAATACATAAGGTTACGTACGCTTCAGAAAAATGTTTTATTTGACTTGCATTGAGGAACATTAGACTTGTAAGAGAAATTATAGATAGATAGATCATGTAACCTCACCTCTAAGAGAAATTAGTCTGACAAACAAAATCAAGATAGCTCAACTTTATTACTTTTGGTAGATATTTTTTTGGTGTATGTACGAAATTATGAGTGTTAAGCACAATCTCAATTCTCAAGGTAGCTCAGTTTTACATTGAAAAAAAAGAAACAAAAGCAAATCATTTATTGATGTGTTTGACAATAAATGAAATCTTTTACTAGAAATTCACAAAGCCCTCGACAAATTTTAATAGTATAGGTTCCTTTTAATATAAGCACACATCGTTTTCATAATTAAACAAATTTAGACCCTTGGTTTAACCATGGCTCTCAACGGTTTCTTCATTACCACCGTGAACTCCAATTTCCCGGCGAAATCAATTTCACTTCCCGGCGGATAAGCGCTCCACTCAAACTCTTGAACCATCTTCGCTAGCATCAAGTGCACGTGTACGGTCGCCATCGCTAGCCCCGGACAGATCCGACGGCCAATACCAAACGGCATCATTTTAACGCCGGTTACACCGGTTATGTCCGCTTCCTCCTTACCCGAAATAAACCGATCCGGGTTAAATTTCTTCGGATCAGACCAAAGCTTCGGATCCTCATTTATTCCCGGAAGATAAAACTCAACGTTAATCCCAACGGGAACATCGTAACCGGCGACCGTCGTCGGCTCCGTCACGGAGTGAGTCAACGTAAAGTAAGTCGGAGGATGTTTTCGTAAAATCTCCTTAACGACTGCTTGTAAAAAGACCATTTTATCCACATCTTTCTCCTCAATCTCACGATCTCCGACCGTTGATTTAATCTCATCGTAGAGCCGAGATTGAATCTCAGGATTCACAATCAGCTGCGCGATACCCCACTCGATCGCCGTCCCCGTCGTATCCGTACCACCGTTAAGAAACTCCGAGCAGAGAGACACAAGCTCTTCATTAGACGGCGTCGTTTTACGACCTTCGGTTTTAAGGTCAAAGAGTGTATCGAGATAAGAGAAAGACGACGCCGTTTTATCAGTCCCCGGATTCTGAATCGCTCTCCGTCGTCTCTCGATGAATTTAACGATGAAATCAACTTGTTCACGACGAACCTCGAGAGCTCTTGCTCTCTCCTTGGAGTAAAACGGAGCAAGGATCGGGAGATAATCATCGAGTCTTGGATTGAGTGTGATCAACACTTTCTTCATCACTTGATCCATATTCAAAATCGATTCTTCATCCATTTCGATTCCAAAACACATCTCTAAAAGAATACAAAACGCAGCGAATCTTGCGTTTCTTAGTACCCAAACAAGACCGTCATTGTCTTTAGCTTCTGATTTGATCCTCTCGACGAGTTTATCCATTGCGGATTGTCTCAACGACCCGAATTCTCTGAACCGGATCGAGCTTAACATGTTCTGTACCATGTTCTTTCTCAGGGATCGCCACACGGGTCCGTACGCTGAAGCGTTGACGGTGAAAGTGTTGGAGCTGAAGATGGTTCGGGTCGGATTCTCGGTGGGTCGGGTTGCGAACATTGGTCCACGCTGAATCAGAACGTCGTGGACGAGAGCTGAATCAGAGATGATGATCATTGTTCGACTTCCCATCCTCAACGTGTAGATAGGACCGTATTTTTTCCTTACATCATCAACATACTCGTAAAACTGCTTCCCGGAGCGCGCGAATTGGAAGAGGTTTCCAACCACCGGCCAACCCGGAGGACCTGGAGGAAGCTTCACGCGCTTTGATTTAGAACTCCGGCGCGTGAGGATCAATAGAACTAAGCTGGATATAAGGATGGTGTAGAAGAGTGAAGGAGAGATGTTAAATAAAGTAGGAGAAAACGAAAGAAGAGACATTTTAGCTACTTGTTTTGGTTTTTCTTCTTCTTTTCTTTTCACTGAGCTTTGTAGATATGGAGGATTAAGAATGGAAGGGAGGAGCAGAGGAAGGTATAAAAACAGAGTAGAGCATGATAATTTAGGTGAGGAGAATTTAAAGTTAACCTGCTTTGTGATTGGTTTCATTTAATTTTATGAGGCTGAGTTTGGTATGCACGAGAAGTACGATGAAAATTTAAAGTCTTGTCTTTTATGACTAGTACAATAGTTGTGATCGTGGAATTGTTTGCTAACACAGTAAATTATCTTCTGACGTGTAAATTTGCATGTCAACGTTTTTCAGTTAAAAAGATTATGGTTTTTTCTCAATCCAAAGCATCGAAAATTGTAACAAAACAAAATTCTCATATCTCAAGTTTCTTTTTTATTCGCCCATTTTTAGTGTTTTTCATGACAATTATTTCACCAAATTCTCATTCTAAGCTTTTATTACAAATCATAGTTAAGTTTTTACCCTCAAAGACAACAGAATTCTAAAAGATTCTTAATGCAAAACATGATTTGAGTACCAGTATGCTTGTATTCATTTTTACATGAAAGTGATTGTCAGTTTATGCATATTCGAATTCGATATAAGATTTATTCATTTTTTTAATTGGAGAGTGTGAGTGTCTATGAGTTTACAATGTTCATATGCTATAATCCCGCGGCTTTCATTTTTTAAACCCTAGGTCTGATCATGGCTCTCAACGGCTTCTTCATCACAACCGCAAACACCAACTTCCCGGCAAAATCCACCTCGCTCTGCGGTGGATAGGCGAACCACTCAAACTCTTGAACCATCCTTGCTATCATCAAATGCACATGTACCGTTGCCATTCCCATTCCCGGACAGATCCTACGGCCAGCACCAAAAGGCATCATCTTCACTCCAGCTACTCCTGTTATATCCGCGTCTTCCCGCCCTGATAAGAACCGGTCCGGGTCGAACTTTTTCGGCTCGGACCAAATCTTCGGGTCTTCGCTGATTCCGGGAAGATAAAACTCAATGTTGACCCCGACAGGGATGTTATAGCCAGAGAGAGTAGTCGGTTCCGTTACACCGTGACTTAATGTAAAGTAAGTCGGTGGATGTCGCCGGAGAATCTCCTTGACTACAGCTTGTAAAAAGACCATTTTGTCCACGTCTCTTTCATCGACCGTGCGATCACCAACCGTTGATTTAATCTCATCGTACAGTCGAGATTGAATCTCGGGATTCGCTATCAACTCCGCGATTCCCCACTCGATCGCCGCCCCCGTCGTATCCGTGCCGGCATTGAGAAACTCCGAGCAGAGCGTTACAAGATCTTCATCAGATGGCGTCGTTTCACTCCCTTCGACGATTCTAAGATCAAAGAGTGTATCAAGATACGAGAAAGACGACGCCGTTTCGGTCAGAATCGCCCTCCGTCTTTTCTCGATGAATTTGACGACGAAATCTACAAGTTCTTGGCGAAGCTTCAGAGCGCGATTTCTCTCATTGTAGTTAAACGGCGTTAAGATCGGAAGGTAATCGTGGAGTTTTGGATCAACGGCGTTTAATATCGCCGTCATCAACTGATCCATCTTCTCAATTGATTCCTCTTCCATCTCAACTCCAAAACACATATCTAATAAAACACAAAACGCAGCGTATCTGCTGTTTTTCAGAACCCAGACGATTCCATCATTGTCTCTAGCTTCAGATTTGATCCTCTCGATGAGTTTATCCATGGCGGATTTTCTAACAGAACCAAACTCCTTGATCCGATTCGAGCTAAGCATGTTCTGAACCATGTTCCGTCTTAATGACCTCCACACAGGTCCATACATGGCGGAATGAACTGTGATTTCACTGGAGCTGAATATTTTCCGGGTCGGAGTTTCAACGGGTCGGGTCGCAAATTGTGCTCCACGTTCGATTAACGCTTCATGGGCGAGACTCGCGTCGGAGATGATGATCATTGTTCGAGTACCGAGCCTGAGAGTAAAAATCGGACCGTAGATCTTAACGAGCTCTTCGACGTACTCGAAAAACTGTTTGCCGGAGCGCGTGAACTGAAACAAGTTTCCGATCACCGGCCATCCTGGTGGGCCTGGCGGGAGATTTAAACGGTTTGAATTGTGTTTCCGGTACGTAATGGTTATAAGTAAACCGGATATGAGAATTGCTAGAATGGTTAAGAGGACATTATTAGGGAACATGTCAAGAGAAGTAGAAGAAAGTGATAAGAATGACATTTTAAAAATCTTCACCTCTAGTGTTTTCTTTTAGCTTTGGAGGAATTGAAGAAGAAGAGAAGAGGAAGCTTTATTATAAGAGTGAAAGATTTGTAGTACCCAAATAATTATTGTAATTATTGTAATTAGGACCATATTAGTAGGTTAATCGTAACGGTCGTTACTTGACTTGCAAAGTCTTAATTTGATGTTAAATTGTTTTCCTATTTCGTCGTATAATTGCTTATTTTAACACCTTCGTATAATTGTTTACCATTTCTATTTTCGATCTACCTTACTTTGTTTACGTGTTGATATCATATTAGACGTGTATAAATAAATTAGCTATAGCCTATAGCAATATATGTTATATGAAGTATAAAATCTTTTTTTTTCAAAAGTTATACGTTATATAATTTGATGGAAATTGAGAATCTGCTCAACATTATATGGAAACGTTTGATTAGTTACTCGAAAAACCACCCAAGATTGCTTACTCGAGGATACACAAGTTACAAAAATGGTTGAAAACATATAACATGTTGTAGTGTTTTTTTTTTAGTGGTAAGAGGAGGCAATATTGAATTAATTAGGTTTTTAAAGTAGTTAAAAGTTTACAAATTAGTACCGACAGATCATTTGGATTAAAGTGGTGGAAGGTATTGAGGAACGGACATTCGAAGAGCACCGGTAAATGGGCAAAAAGTCGTGTGTTCTTTTCCTTTTGGTCATATATTTTCTATTTTTAATTCTGGTTTTTTAGTGATTTATATATGCTAAAATCATAAATTTGTGTACAAAAAGTTTAATAAGGTAAAACTAATGAAAATTAAACTATTAATCAAGGGAAAGCTATTACGGAATTTTTTTGAACCGACAGAGTGTTGCAGGTTTTGGTCTTTTACAAATTCAACTTGGATAATCCAGGTGACATGGCTTTGAAGATTATTGATGTTGATGTTTAATACAATTCAAATTGTTGATAAACACCTGTGGATTGTTTCGTAGTTTGTTGTTAAGACGGTGACATATTATTGTGTTCAACTAAAGATTGGTTCTACCGTCCAAACTTTAACTTTATATAAGAACAATATTTATACATATAATAAGAAACTAAAACATTACTTTGAATAATCATATGCTCTTTTTTCTTTTTGCTGGTTCATTTACTCTTTAGTTAAATTTTTAAATAGCGCTAAGATGAAGTATTATAATGAAAAACATTTACTATTAATTTTGAAAAATATTGTGACTTGACCTCAGATTAATTGCCTTGACCTTCTTTTTTTTTTGTTGCCGATAAATACAAATAGATAACACTAACAAAATAAAGTACAAAAGGAAAAAAACGACAACTTCGTACCAAACCAAAACTGTGTCGTATTAATTGTTGTGGCGAAACAAATCCGTCGTTGATCGGCAGGTGAAGGCTCGTCACCGTCTCTTTATCTCCCTTTCTCATGACGCCGCCGAGACCACCGTCTGGGCGAGCAAGGTCGCTGCGTGATTATTCTTCGGAATCAGAAAAGATGGATGGTACCGGTAGTTGGGACACGCTTGAATGGACCAAACTCGATGTAATTTGCTCTCAATTTCTCTCCTGATTCTAGGGTTTCTCACGCTTATTTCCCTTTTAACCCACAATTACACAGACAACACGTGAATGTCGTTTTTTTCGTATGCAAAAAGCTCATAATTTGGATACGAAATTGAATGCTCAAAATTTTTAATGGAATTCTGCTTTGGTTGTCTCTTTTTGATGGGTCGCAGTCAGCTTCAGGGTCAGGGTCAGGTTCAGGTTCTTTCTCGAATTTGAGTTGCTTGCTAGAATCGGAGAGGGTCATCGTCGAGGTATGTTTTTAGAGTTGGTCAAAGTGATCTCTTTTATTCTAATTTTCCATCTATGAATTTTTGTTACCATATCCGGTTATTGAATTTGAGACTTGGTATGCAATTTGCTTCACTTGTGTTCTTAGTAAATTAACGGGGAAATTCAGTATTGGTTATGACATTTGTCCATGATATTAATGTGAAGAATTTGTTGTTGAAGTAATATGATTTTGGACTTTGTTTACAGGGTTATGGAGTTGTTCTTATTAACACCGACGAAGCAGGAACTCTATTGGTGACAAATTTCCGTATTCTTTTTCTGGTATGATAACGTCTTTCCTTTGTTTCTTATATGCGTTTGATCTATATTTCTGGCCAATGTAATAGTTTTAAAATGTAGTATATATGTCTTGAACTTACTTATATTCACTATTTCAGCATTAGGCCTTACTACTGTTGATCAATATATTCTTTGTTTCTCTTTGTGAAGAGTGAAGGAACCAGAAAAGTCATTCCACTTGGAACCATTCCGTTGGCAACTATTGAGAAGTTTAACAAAATGGTCAGTTGCTGTATCCCTGGGAACAGAGCTATGTGATTAATACTAATTAAGTTAGGCTTTAGGGTTTTACATTGTTAATTCTATGTATTTTCTTATTCATGGGTGATGTGTACATAGGTGCTGAAAGTTCAATCAAGCCCCCGTCAGTCTGACAAGAATCCACCAAGACGTCTTTTACAGGTCACTGGTATGTTTCCGGATTTAATAGTTTGCTAGAGCTGATTTCGCATAAGTTTTGTTCGTCTGGTTTTCGCGTCATAGCTCAATTTTCGCTATGATGTTGAATTGTATTTCATGTTTTTTCCCTTCATTTTTGATGTCCCAATATTATCTTGGACAATGGACATCGTCCCACAGTGATTTTGGTTGGAAGTGTTTTGTACTTCTCTTACATCTTTATTTGATGCATCTTGTATCTTACTTGACAT